AAACACACACAAACACACGCCAGTGCATATGCTTGTGTGTCAGCATCTAAATATCTGCGTATGTGTGCATGTGTATGTTTGCATAAATGTGTGTCTAGCTGACATAAGCAGAGCTGTAGACATATATCAGGGCTGACATTTAGCGCTTAGCTCTGCCACTAAGCTTATTAGCCAAACACCAAATATCAGCACAATCTCCCTCCCTCCCAGCCCTCTGTTTTACTCACCCTCACATCCCTCACCTTTCCTCTCCTGTCCAAGGCTGTGGTGGCCTTCTCTCTCTCTCTTCTTCCTCTCGCTCCTCTCGTCTCTCCCTCTCTTCTCTCTCTCTCTCCATCTCTTTCTTTTTTTCATTTCTTTTTCTAATTTTCAACCTGTTCATGTTGACTTTGCTCACACATGTGTGAATCATTCCACACTTCCTTTTGTCTCATTTCCACTCCTTCCTTCCCTTTCTCAGGAGTCCTGCTGATTGCTACTGAAGGTTTTGGCAGCTCATCAACACATACAGGGGCTTACAGACACACACACACACACACACACACACACACACACACACACACACAATAAGCTTCAATCCAAACAGGAGGAGAAATTACAAAGTGAGAGCAAAGCAGTGAAAGATGGCAGAATGGAAAGGGCCAGAAGATGTTGACTGGAGCAGGCAGAATAAATTGAATCGAAATCATTTGCTGTATTGACGTTCAGCTTTCAATTATCCACGGATGAGACAGAGACAGCGAGATGGACTCTGAGAAAGAAAGAGAGAGGGACACTGCAAGAGCAAAGAAGGGGAGAGAGGACGATGACGATGAAGGAGACAGAGAAATAATGTAACGGGGAGGGGGTGTAGGCTTCTTTTTACTAGCAATAACAATTCAATCAGGGAGAAATGTATGTGGAACTAAGTGGTCTATAATGGGAAACAGGCTGCTTACAGCTACACATTGAAGAAGAGAGAAAGCAGCAGAGAGGGCAGAGACAGACGGGTAGAGAGAGAGTGGTAGAGGCAAAAGGATACACAGATGAATAGACAGAGAAGGACAGACATACAGAAAAGTGTGGAAAAAAATCCATCCTCAACCAAAAGCCAGTAAAACAAGTAATTTTTTCAAAAATGCAATCATGTTAGAGGGGATTGGAACATGTCACAAACTAAAAAACACGTCTGGTGGCTCTCTTAATCTTGAAAGACATGGCATTTGTGTGTGTACGTGAGTGTTAGTGTGCATGGATTTTGAAGAACATCCCTACATGTTGGACTGACATGCTTCATCAGAGCATCTAGGTCAGCATGAGATCGGAGTAACAACATGAAGTGACTTTTTGGAGCAGATGAGAAAGTGGGAGCATGCAGTTTAAAGGGATGAGAGAAGAAGGAGGAAATGAAGCTGCGTAGGAGAAATAAGAAGAAAAGACAAGGGACAAAGATTGACAGAGGGAGGCTATGGGGTTGATTTTATTTCTCTTTTTACACTTCTCTCCCAGTTAAGTTCCCAGAATGATTTCAGACCAATTCTGTTGTTAAATTATTAGCACAGTATTCTTTATTAAAGGCACATAGGGGACAAGCAATCCAATATTCAGGAAATGAGATGTGGCAGTGGATGCAGAGAAAAGGTTTATATGGTTCAGTTAATTGAATTCTCAGCCACAGTGAGTTTTCCTACCAAAAGGGTTTGGGGCCCACACTGTGTCGGGAGATTAAAACTCTCTCAAGTGGCTTTTTTGTTTTTTAATTCAGACTCACCTGCCAAGGTTACTCTCACTGTCTCTCCCTCTGTACTCTTTTCTTTTCCCTTTTTTCTGCAGTTCTCCAATTACAAACACAAATCATTTTCCCTCTCCCCCTTTGTTTAATTTGGCAGGCAGCGCTTAAGCTCCATAATGAATGTTTCCATGTTCAATAACACTCAGATTTTCTCCCTCTCTCTGTCTTTCATGCACACACATACATACAGTACACCATGTCCCCTCACAGCCTGAGTCAGACATCATAGGGTATTGAGTGGTTTGAAGGGAACATAAATCACTTTTTGATCACCTTGGCTGCTTTCAAAAAGGCACAAAACAACGCAAAAAGGATAGGTGGGAACGCTTTGAAATGTTTTATAGCATCTTATTCACTCAGGTTAGATTCGTCTGCATTCAGTCTTCAATCTGCCCCCCCATCCAAAAAAAAAATAATCCCCCTTCCCCACCCTCAGCTACTGCAGCATGCCGTGGGAAATATTCCTGCTCAATCACAAATATGAATAGATGTTTCCGGTGAGACGCTGTCGAATTTAATTTTACACATTTCCAAGAGTAGTGCTTCAGGCTCTCCATTCATGCATTGAAGAAAGAAGTTTGGGGGTTTTGACATTACGAGTCATTGGAGAGGAGGAGCAAGCAAACATTTCTTCCTGGCTTGTGTTTCTGTTTGTTCCTGGTTGTTCCTGGTTGAGTGCTTGGTGATGCTTTGACAGGGGTTCCACATTGTTGCTCAAACATCCACTAGATTGATATGAAGCAGGCAAGGCTGGATGGTGCACTGCTGGTTTGCTTAGAGTGAACACAAGATAAGAAGGCAGAGGCAGATGCACGCAATTGCGCCGCCGTACACAAACGCATAAACAACACATAAACAATTACGCAGACACTCACACACGCACGCACATGAAAAATGACTCTGACATGCGTACCCTTGCTACACTCTCTCCTTTCTCTGTTGCATTCTTTGTCACAAACGCAACTTGCCACACACTTGTATGGTTCCTCTTCCTCCCTCCCACAGTGTATCTCTCTCTCTCTCTCTCT